CAATGCCATTGATAAAAATATATCGATAGAATCTTCTTTTTTTTCAATGTTCAATACGAGAAAAAAAAACATTTATATATGATATTACAAACCTATTCGTTGACCGCTGGCTATATTCAATTTTTGCTTTTCTGTCTCCAGATAGTGACCTGAAAATAGGCAAACAAGAAATAACAATCTGACGTATTCGGTCAATCGGACTGACAATCATATATTACAATTTTTATATAAAAAAAATCAGCTCATTCTTATGAGTTTTTCAAACTCTCTAGCATAAACATAATATGTACAGTCAGATACGTTTCAGCTTTTTCATCTTCCATGTAATGTCATTTACTAATGTTTTCTAATGTAGAAAGTACATTGTAGTATTTTGAGATTAAAATCGTATCGAATGATTCAAATTTGTATTCTACTACGGATCTCATCAGACAGTCTCATTATTTGAAAATATGTTGCTACGACTGAGGATGTTCTGTGCTCATTTAGGTTCAATTATACGACAAGAATGGCTTCACATAAAACGTGAAATAATTGTATATCTTCGAATTACTAGTCACTTATTTTATATCCGCACATGATCAGTCAACTTTTTTTGCCTTTAGAGTTCATCAGAACATCTACGCTCAATAGTTGACACCACCGAGATACATTGGTCTAATTACTGTAAACTATTCTCTTAGAAAAATGTATTTTATAAACGCAAAAGATTAAAGTTTTTATTTATGTGTTTAATCTACTTATAATCTTAGTTGTATCAAAACTGAGAAAGCAAAGAGTTAATTCACCGTAAAAACAGCTTTTACAATGACATTATTACACGTGTTTCTTTCGAGATGATACCTTTTTTTTCGATGAGAAAAGAATTGTACTCTCTTTTTATGATACGATAATAGGAAAGATGAATTTATTTATTTTTATGATATGATTTGATTAATTAAAATAGGAAATGAGGAAGTTGTTTTGTTTTGTTTGATTCAAGTTTGATGATTTAACTGAAATATTTATAAATAAATCTCGTGTTCTTTTCATATAACAATTAAACATAGATTAAAATAAAGAAGAAATCTGAAGAAATATTCTCGTTCAGATTGTAAAATACAAATTTAATCATCTTTTACAATTTTTTGTTTTAATTATTTCAGATAAATAATATTAAATAAATTAAACAAGATCATTTATGATACACATTTTATTGAAAAAGAATTTCTAAAGAGATTTTTAACTTATTGAATATTTTGATGATTCACAGAAATAAGTTTAAATTTCATTTCATATCTTTTTCGTTATTCAATCTAATTTAGAATATAAACATATGATATGTCCATTGTGAATATCAGTACGATAATTATGAAAGATATTCAATGATAAAATCGATTTTATTTTAATTTAAAAGAAAACAGACAAAAACCTACAAATCTTTTTTTTTGTGTCCTGAAGAAAATCTTTTGAATATATTGTTAAATTTTTATTTCATTTCGAATATTTTCTTATCTATAAGATTAACACAATACTTTCAAATAGAATTTAATTAATCACTTTTTAATTTTTTTGATATTTATTATTATCGTTCTCATTTAAAATAATGTTAATCGGTATTTTAAAAAAGTTTTAATAATCAAAAAAATTAGATTAAAACAATTTTATTAAGTCTAACAATTTAATCAAATATGAATGTGTGCAATATTATTTTATTAGATTTATTTTTTGTCCAAAAAGATTATTATTCTAAATGATAAAATATTTAATCTTAACATAATATAGTTCGATTTATTTATTTACTCTCACACTTTTTCATCAATTATATTAAATATTTCATAATTCTATTTTTCTTTTTATTTCGATTTTATTTACATAAATATGATTTTATTAAGAAATTAGATTAGAAATAAATGACAAAAATTAATTATTATACATCATTTTTTTATAGAAAAAAAATCTTTTTTATTCTATTTCATTTTTCGATATATTCAATCAATCAATTAAAATTACAAAAAGCTTTTTATATATTAAATATTTCTTTAGTAAATAATTTTGTAAATCATTTTTTAATAAATAATTATATTGAAATTTCATGATAATTTCTTTCGGTGAATAGATGGAGTATTACGACGCTAACTATTATTATTATTTTGTCTTTGTATCTCTCGTTGTCGTCCTCCTTCATTATTCGTTACGGTTCATTGGTTTATGAATATATTCCTTATGTCACTTCCTTTTATTTTTTCTTTCCAAATAAAACATATTTGTTAACTACTTCCTTCATATATCATTCAAGTATTACAAAAGTCAGATCTGGTAAGTTGTTTATAATGGACTCTTATTCTGTAAGGTAGACATAATCACTTAAATTGTCAATCAAGGAAGAATCGTACAACACTTTTGAGGGTGTCAAATAATCTGTAATTGGAAATAAAAAGTTTAATAATGATTTTGTGCAAACTGATTTGAATAAGGTATTTTTAAAGGAATAGAAAATGAGAAAATCAAAATTCTGGAAATGTTTCTATCGAAAAAAATGAAGAAAAAGTTTTAAATAAATAAATAAAATCTATTTATTTATAACTGAAAACTGTTTTTTCTCAATCCATTCATTTTCTTAGAATGAAATACTTTCAAATCGATTTAATAAAATTTATTGTTTATAAAGATTAACGTCGTCTTAACACTTTTTTGACACAAGAAAATCTTTTTCATAATAAAAGTTTTTTTCATAGTTTTATATTTGATTATTAATGGACATTATATGATTAGTAAAGAGAATACTCCATTCGCAATTCATTCTATCAAAAAAAAACTCATTTATTCTTCAGAAGATGATTCAAGTAAATAAAATGCATAAGTATTTTCGTTTTTTTTTATGGAGAAATAGAATCAATGTGTTAAGTTATTTATCTGAGTTGAAAAATAACAATACTATTCTAAGTTATGAAATTTTGTATTATTCTACAAAAGAAATCTTTTCATGTTGATAATAATTACTAGTTAAAGAATGAGGAAATATAGAACACTGTTTTTACTGTTAATGCATATAGAGAGAGAAAAGTTGCTTAAGCTTTCCCTACAATATTGAAGTGTCATCATCACTACTTTTAGTATATCCTTTGTTCAAATAAATACGAACTGTTCTCTTTTTATTTTCTTTACAGAAACTATAAAATCATTCTATATTCTCATTTTATAGCAATATGTTTGAGAAGAAAACAAAAGGGAATATGTTTCGTGGTCAGTAAAATAATTGAAATGTCAGTAAATATATTAAGTGGTCAGTTTGAAAAAAATCAGTAAACAATTCAAAAATGGTCAGTAGATTTTGTGAAAGTAGCAGTAAAAAAATATGGTTTTTGTCAGTAAAAAAAAGAAATTTGGTCAGTAAGAAATTCACTTTTGGTCAGTAAAAAATTTAGTTTATCAGTAAAAAATATTCATTATCAAAGAAAATTTTATTTAAGTATAATAAAGAGAATTTTCAAGAGCTATAGAAAGAATGAGAAGAAAACTTTATTATTGCACCAAGAGAGCAGTTTTAGCTTTAGATGGTCGACCACGTTTTCGCTTTTCGCCGATGGGAACTGTTTTTGCTGCAGCTGGTAGTTTGCAATGCTTTAATCTTATCCCCATCCCAACAACATGTTTACATATAAAGTTCTTGAGAAATGCCGGGCAGTTACATTTAGATTTTCTCCAATTTGAATCATCTTCTACTTCCAGACACCAAATATCAAATGATTTTTTCAATTGATTGAAGGTGGTAAATTTTTGTTTCTTGTATCTATTCAAATCGTTTTGAGGAATTGAATCTAAATCACGAGCTGGTATATAATAAACTTTAGAAGATTCATTGTTTAAACAAATAACATTTTTGTTTGATTTGGCCCATTGATATGATGAAGTCCATAACGCTAAAATGATTGTGGGTTCTGTAGCGAAATGCTTTGCATTTGTTAATTATGTGTCACAATCTATTGACCAATTACGTATAATATCCGAAAATGTTGTCAAAAATCTGGATAAAACATGAGTTCACGAAACGTCCCATCGCCTTTGATTGTTCTGTTAGTAGATTCAAGTGCATTGTTGATAAAGTTCGCGAGTTTATATAGGTATTAGATAGTACCTAGATGTGGTAATATCCCATTGCATTGGGAAAAAACCAATACAAGAAAATTCTTTCACTGATTAAAACAAGGAAAATTCCAAGCAGATAGTACTTTGGATAGACGTAGAAGTCACAGAACGAAAAAAAATGTATATCCTCTGTCATTTGTTATTATGGGAGAAGAAAAGAAAAAAAAAGTAGACCAAATTTTCACAAATTTATATTATTTTACTTTCCATTTCATTTTATCTACTGATCGTTTAAATTTTATTACGGATATGTCAAATTAATTACTGACCATTTCAATAATTTACTAATCAATCATTACTTTACTGACCATTCAATAATTGTACTGACTTTTGAATTTTTTTTTTTTACTGACCGTTTCATTTATTCTACTGACCACTTAAATGACACCCAAAACAAAACATTGATTTTATCTTTCATTAAAAGTCAAACTTCGTATATATACATTATTGATAATCTCTAGTAGATTAATCTTATCAAGGTCTGCCATTTATTTCATTTTGTAATTATAAAAAAACAACAGAAAAGCAAAATATAGGTAGATGAATTATTTTTCGACTCGCGCTAATAACTGATAAAGGGCAGTTTCGTGAAAGATAATATCATTTGCTTTATGTGCTTCTTAGACGACTTAATAACAAACAGGTTAAAACAAAAGACAATTCATTTTCTTCAATTAATGAAAATATATTGTTCTTGCGTCCCTCAATTTGCATCAAACTGAGGTTAAAAAACTAACAAATGATACAATAATGGCAGAAATGTGACATCCTTTTTTTGACTGTCAGAAGTACAGAATTTATTCGATGATTACATATAGATCAAACAGATAACATCTAAAAACTCTACTCTGTTTTTAGTTTCTTGAATTAAGATGGCCACTGCTCGTCTGCCAAATGATGACTTTTACAAAAACAATGATGATAAGTCTTTGGAAATATTCTCAATTATTTGGCTCGATGCAAATGTAGACGTTAAAGGCGCTCGAAACACAGAAGTAAAATTACGTTCGATTATCAATCATATTAAGAAATTTCAAGATGTAAAACAATGTCAACAATATATTGAACAAGCATCACAAAAGGATCGATTAATACTTATTGTTAGTGGTCGATTAGGACGAGAAATAGTACCTTACATTCATCAACTTCGACAAGTTATATCAATTTATGTTTATTGTATGAATAAGAAGAATAATGAGCAATGGACTCTAAAATTTTTAAAAGTAAAATTCTTCTAAAAGATGTTTGCTTTATTTTATCATTTTTCCTACAGATAAAATCCGTTGTTGCTGATCTTGATGAACTTGTCTTTCAAATCACAACAAATCATAAAATTCAGAAAAAGATAGAAGAACCATTATCAATTAATATTTTCTCAACAGGTATTAATGCAGGAAAATCAACAACAGGAGTTAATGGACAATTTGTTTTTTCTCAACTTCTCGTTGACTGTCTTCTACAATTAAAATCCACTGACATAGACGAAAATGAACTTATTAAGCTTTGTGTAGATGAATATGAAGGAAATCATACAGAACTAAGTAATCTTCGTGAATTTCAAGAATATTATGTACCTGATAAAGTGTTATGGTGGTATACAAAAGAAACATTCTTCTACAAGGTTCTTAATGCAGCTTTACGTACACAAAATATTCATGTGATTTTTCTATTTCGATCGTTGATTTACGATATTTATCGTCAGTTGCAAAAATATCAATGTAAGAAGTTTGTACGCGTTTATCGATGTCAGTTAATGTCGATCCATGAATTAAATAGTCTTAAACAAAACATTGGCCAGTTCATTTCAATAAATTCATTCTTCTCCACAAGTGATGATCGTTCAACAGCTCTCTTCCTCCTAGGTGATATAACAACACAGATTGATTCAGAACGAGTATTATTTGAAATTGATGCTGATCCTAAGATAGTCAATACAAAACCATTTGCTGATATTAGTAAACATAGTTATTTTCCAGTTGAATCAGAAGTTCTCTTTATGATAGGTTCTATTTTTTGTCTTAATAATATTCATCGTAATGATGATCAAATATGGATCATTAAAATGACTTTATGTGATGATGATGAACATGATTTAAAACAAGTTCTTATGTATATGAAACAACAGATTGAAAGTCGTGAAATGAATCTTCGAATATTAGGAAATTTATTATGGGAAATGGGTAAATTTGACTTGGCTGAAACATATTTTACTCGTTTGTTGAAACAACTTTCATCAAATGATCCATTAAATATCAGTTTATATGAAGACCTTGGTAAACTGGCGTCTCAGAGAGGTGATTATGATATGAGTATGAAATGGCGTCAAAAACTACTGACATTCAAAGAGAAACATCCATTAGCTACCAATCTTAGTGTTTATAAAAGAAACAATTCCATCGGTAAGTTTGTTGAAAGAAAACCTCTGATTTTGAAGCGAGTGATCTATATAAAAACGGATTATGTGTCGCAGAAAAAAATCTTTAAAAATTCAAAAAAGTGAAACTGATTGAGAGAAACAAATGTTTCTTTAAAATAGTTCTGTTTTATGTTTATCAGCTAGTGATTTTAGATGACAGAAAATAATTTAGAATTGAAATCGAATTGATGCATTCAATATTGACTAACATCAGGTGTATTTATATTTTATCTTTTCTTATTATTAGATTGTTACACATTTTTTACGATAATATTAGTATTTAGTTCTTCGTTTATCTCTCTAGATCATGACACTTATATGAATAATGTGAGAGATCTGTCTATTCAATAGTAAATCATATAAGAGAATGTGAATATTGCATCAGTTATCTAATTCGAGTGCGAATATAGATGAAGACTTTAGTGATTAGCATCGATTCATAAATATATAACATAAATCAAAACGACACTTTCATGCATGTTTAGAAAAAACGAGAAGAAAAAGTTTACCTTCAGTATCATTTATAATTTAAGTTATATAGCATGAAATGTCTAATTGAATTTCTAATATAAATGAATAATTTATATCAATTATAGTAAAATGTAACGAATAGCGATTATACTGTACACTAGGAAAAGAATAAAAGTTCTGTTTTTTCTATACTTATCATTTATGATAAAAATGACAAATACAGACTCTACGGCAAGTTTACAAACAGACTAAACCTTTTTTCATTTGTGAGTTTTTCGAAATCTCGTAACTTTTATACTAACTATCATACTGATGAAAACTATTTAATGATTTATTCTCAAATATTAACAAACTTAAACGACAAATAAAAATCTTTGCCAATCATTTTGCCGATGATTCGACAGACTTCTTTCCTTATAAAAAATGAAGGGTTAAGGCTATACCACACGATTATAGATCATCATAGTTGTTGAAATATAGATGATTTTTCATTCGAAATAGATTTGCTCAAAAAAAGTCGAAAACATATAGAGTCACTTTTTGAGAAGTGCTGTATAAGTAAAAGTGCTTACTGACTGTGTTCATATGCTTTAGCTTTTAAAACATTATCATATCTATATCTTATCCTTATGGCAGCAGAACGTGTCACGACCGAGATCTCATTTTTTTACGAAAAACTTTATTTCAATCCATCGCATTTTGTGTCAGCGTAAAAAATGTATGTGTTGAACGATTAGCCAACATGTGTCGAAACGTTAGGAAGGTAGAACAGATCAAAATTCGAATAGTACTGAAATTCATTTTTTTGAAATATTTATTTACGTTTGCTTTTGTTCAAGTAAGACTATTGACATGACTTATGATAAACGATCTCTACGACATATTGTACTTTTTCACATAAAATGTTTATCATCCCCGTTTTTACTTCAGAAATTTCGAAGTGGGCTAAACTGAATGAATCAGTGTAATCATTGTTCCACGATGATTGCTAAAGAGATTTGTTGAGAATAAGCCACACGTGTTCGGTTTTAGTTCACAAGATACATATAGTATTCTTTATAAAGGCATTGATCATCATATTTAACTGAACTCATATAATATGAAATTCAAAAATTAATTCAAAATCAAAAATTTTTTATTTAAAAAGCTTAAAATAATGTTTTTGATATTTTAATGTGATTGAGAAATAAACATTTTCAATTCTTTTTCAATTCAAATAAATTATTTACAAACAGAATAGAAAATGTAGCAAGATAAAAATAAATTTTAACAACAAGTTATATTTGGATAAAAATGAAAAATAGAAATCTTTTCTTTTATATTAATTAATTCGATATATTTGTAGAAATTGTGTCAAGACAAAAGTGGAAATAATTTTCCACCGTTGTGAATAGTGTTGACAATTCTTCTCTCATACATTTTATTCTCTTTTATTGAAATCGATTTCGATATGAATGAAACTACAAAGTAATTCTGTATCCTTTAACATCTATTTTAAAATTCATAAGAACTTTATGTTATGTTATTATTCTGACTGAAAAAGATCTTGAACTTCATTCTCATTCCTCTATAGGATTGATCAATCTTCTATATTCATAAATCAAATTTATTTCTTTTTTTTGTTAAAATAAGAAAAAATCTACTCAATTCTAAATTCTGCCTTTTATTTTTCATTCTTAAAAATCCTTGTTAAACAAAAAACCAAAATTGTAACACGTCCTTGTAGAGTTTATTGAATATTTATAGAATTTAGTTTTGTTGATCACGATTTTATCGAAAAAAATATTTATTTGTCAAATAAATAGGAAAATTAGAAAATCTAAAAAAATAAAATATCCTCTTTCAAATATCTTCATTATGTTTGTCTCATCAGTTTTTATTTACAATAAAAAGTATCATTCATACTAAATTATTATGTTAACATAGATTTATATCAATAAACATTATAATATTTCATAACATTTTCACTTCAAATCATTTTATATAAAAATAAATTTAAATAAAAAAAATAACTTGTCGTTTTTTATTTTTGAAATCTTTTTCAAAGATAAACAAACCCATTCAAATGAAAACAATTAAATTTTATTTTCAAATATAAAAACAAATTTAAATATTTTTCACTTTTTGTTTTACAATTAAAAAACAATTTTATTCAATAAATTTTAAATTAAATTAATTCAAATCATTTTGACTTTATTTCATCTCCATCCTCTCAATATTTATTTTTATACAAATGATTATTTTTATTTTATTGCATTTTAAAATAATACTTTTTTTATTCACATTTATTCATCATTTTCATTTAAATATATACAAATGCTTTTTTCTTTTAGAAAAATCAACTCTTCCGAATCATATTAATAACAACAGAAAATGGAAACAACATGGAGTTACTATTGCTGGAGGAAATGGACGAGGCAGTCAATCAAATCAACTCGATTATCCTCAAGGTATCTATGTTGATGATGATCATCAAACTATTTATATTGCTGATTGTGATAATCATCGTATTGTTGAATGGAAATACGGAGCAAAGAATGGTCACGTTGTTGCAGGTGGAAATGGACAAGGAAATCGAAGTGATCAATTGAATTGTCCAGCAGATGTGACTGCTGATAAAAAGAATGATTCTCTCATCATTTGTGATAGAGGAAACAGTCGAGTGGTACGATGGTCTCGTCAAAATGGTACAAATGGAGAAACAATCATTTCTGATATTCATTGCTCTCGTCTAACAATGGATAAGAATGGAGATCTTTATGTCTCTGATTGGAAGAACAATGAAGTGAGACGATGGAACCAAGGAGAGAAAAAAGGAACAATAGTAGCAGGTGGAAATGGATACGGAAATCATCTCAATCAACTCTATTGGTCCACTTATATCTTCGTTGATGAAGATCATTCAGTTTATGTATCGGATAGTGACAATCATCGTGTGATGAAATGGATGAAAGGTGCAAAAGAAGGTATTGTTGTTGCCGGTGGAAATGGTGAAGGAAGTAGTTTGACACAATTTTCTTATCCTATGGGAGTGATTGTCGATCATTCGGATAATGTTTATGTGGCTGACTATGACAATCATCGAATAATGCGTTGGTGTGAAGGATCTAAAGAAGGTAGTACTGTTCTTGGTGGAAATGGAGAAGGACGAAAACCAAATCAGTTCAAATGTCCCGAAGGTTTATCATTCGACTTTCGAGGTAATCTCTATGTTGTCGATTATTACAATCATCGAATACAAAAATTTGAAATTGATTTGAATTAAATTTGTTAATGCTGATGATGAAATGAATAATTAAGTTTTTTTGTGAAAATATTTTTGTTTATTTTGATTGAAAAATAAATAAATATAAAAATTCTAAATGAACTTTTGCTAATAATTAAAATAAGTTTGATATATTGATAAATATCTGTTTTAATGTAATTTGTTAAAATAATAAAACAAAAGTTTGATTGTTTTAATATTGTATTTTAATAATTAAAATTAAATTTTGTGATTCGATTGAGATACATATACAAGTGAGTTTTTAATTTTATTGAAGATAAGATAATCTGAGAGGATAGGAAAGTAAGATGGAAGAATATTTTCATTTTTGAAAGTTGTTTGTATGAATAAATCAAATGAAATAAAATAGATCGAATTAATGTTTTTTGTACAAATAAAATTGTTTTTTAAATAAATAAATAAACAAATTTGTTAATTTATTTGGTTTGATCTGTTATTTTGATAATAATAATGATAATGAAATATTCGTTATTTTAGTTTTGAATTTATTAAATCTGATAAAATAGTACGATGAATTTGCGAGCAAATAAAACGATAGAAAACATTTGAGTGATGAATTGATCGATTTTGTAATAAAATAAAATTTGATGATATTGTTGTTTGTGTCATTAAAATAATAATGAAAAGAGAGGAGATAATAGTGATGATGTTTTATAAATAAAATATAAATAATGACTAAGGTGATTAATGTTCATAGAATTGATTTCGACAAATTTTAAAATAAATAAATGAGATAATTTATTTTCCTCAATCAATTGAAGAGAAAGAAGAATTGTGAAATATGTGAATAATTGTTACACTATTGATGGAATTTGTAGGTGTGAGTGTGGGTAAAGACGACATTCACCCACCCACACCTTCAGTTACACCCACTCGTGTCATACCATTAGAATTGATGCAACGACAACGTTTTGAACCAGAAAAAGTTGAAACATTTTCTTTACAAAAATCTGATATTGGAGATTTAGAAGTTGTTGAAATTGAACATGATGGTGAAACATTAGCTAATAGTTGGTTTCTTGATGATATTACTATTGAAATGCCAACAAAAGGACGTGCATTTTGTTTTGCTTGTCATGAATGGTTATCAAAAGAAAAGGTGATGGAAAAACTAAACGTATACTTAAAGTACAAGATTCTAATCAATCATCATTTCGTCCTTGTAAGATTTTCTTTTTTTCCTTCTTACTAGAATACAAATTTGTTTTCTTTTCATTTGTATAGTGATTCCATATGAAGTCACATTTTCTACAGGTGATTTGGAAAGTGCCGGTTGTGATTGTGATGTTAGTTTGAAATTATTTGGTACAACAGGTTCATCATCTGAACATATTATTCGAAAAGAAGAACGAAATTTTGAACGTGGATCTATCGATCCATTTCAATGTGAATTAGATGATGTTGGTGAACCAATTAAATTACGTGTTACAATACTTCCAAAAGGTAAAAAAGGTCGACATAGTTGGTTTTTACAAAATATCGAACTTATTAAACATACAAAAGAAAATGAAAGACAAAAAACATATTTATTTGATTTAAATGATTGGATATCAAAAGAAACAGATTATCATCATGATATACCATTAACGAAAGGTGGAAAAGCATTATTAAAAGAAACAACTTATCGTGAAACAGTAAAAACAACTGATATATCTGGCGCAAGTTGTGAATGCAATGTTTTTATTGTTATTTCGGGTAGAAGACTAAATATTCTCATATAATATATAGGTGCAAATGATGATAGTGAAGAATTAAAATTAAAACATTCTTCTGCACATAAAATAAATTTGAACGTAATCATAAAGATGTATTTATGCTTGAAACTATTTTAAGTTTGGGTGAATTAACTAAATTACATATATATGGCATGATGATTCATCAATAATAAAAAAATCATGGCATTTAGAATATGTACAAATTGATGATACACGAACAGGAGAAACATATATGTTTCCATGTAATAAATGGTTATCATCAAAGAAAGAAGATCGACAAATTGTACGTGAACTTGTATGTAGTAATGATTCACCAAACACAAATCTACGAGGATTATTAACAGCATCAGGAAAAGTTCCATATGAAATTGAAATTTCAACATCAGATAAACAACATGCAGGTACAACTCAACATGGATGGATTATTCTTGAAGGGAATAAAAAACGATCAGAAAAATTTTATATGAAAAATGAACCACATATCAAAATTTTACGAGGGTAAAAATCGTATTTAAAATATATATATTATTTCTTATTATAAAATTATTTAGTGGACAAACGGATACATTTACATTTGAATGCCGATCACTTGGTGAATTACGTCGTATTATTTTAGGTCATAAAGAACGACCTGAATATCCACTTAATACATATGAAGGTCGTGGAGCTATGTGGCATGTTGCACATGTAACTGTTACAGATCCATCGACAGGCGTTAAATTTGAATTTCTTGTACGAAAATGGATTGATATTAATAATCAGGGTAATGTTTTTGAATGTGCTGAAAAAAAAGAAGATACTATTGCACAACAATGTCATCGTCATACGATTAAATATAAAATTATTGTTCATACAAGTGATGTATCACATGCTGGTACAGATGCAAATGTATCAATTATTCTTTATGGTACTCTTGGTGATACTGGTATTCGAGAATTAAAACAAAAAGGTCCAATTTTATTTGAACGTGGTCAGGTTGATGAATTTATTATTGAACTCTAGGTGAATTAACTAAATTATATATTGAACATGATATGATATGATATCACTTGATTGGTTTCTCGATAAAGTTGAAGTTATTAATATGGATACAAATGAAACTATTAGTTTTCCATGTAATCGATGGCTTGGTAAAAGACATGATGATCATGAGATTCAACGAGATTTATTACCAATGAAAATTTCATAAATCTATGATATTTTATTTTTCTGTTTACTTTGGAAATAGAATGAACATGATTATAAAAGAAAAGTAACTAAATCTATTTGCTTTTTCTTTCCACATTAAAGCAAATGTATAAAAGCATTGGATTCAGACGAATTTTTTAAAAATATATATGTTTATGTGTTGGGTGAGTGTGTGAGAAGTGAAAGAGCAAACATCCACTACTACCCACTCTCAAGTGGTATAGTTTAATTCTTGTATTTGAAGTGCATATTAGTTTTGGCTTGATTTCTTTTTCGCTGATATCAAATATAAATTTCTTAGTAGACGCTTGTGTAATGAGATTGTCTGTTTATGTCAAATAAAGAATATATTAAAAGTCATCAACAAAAAAGTAATATGAGCTATTATTGACAAACTATACAAAGGAGAAAGTGCTTGACAAGTAATAAATAAATTCATCATACACCTCGGCAGATGTGAATCGTATTTCAAAAAAAATAAAGCATGTCTAACGAAAAAAATGTCTATATACAATTTATTAATAAATAACAAGGAACCGTATTTTGTGATGTTATTATATATTTTACGATTATATATTCAAAATGAGACGATATTCTGTAAAAAAAAACACCTTTTATTATTGACATATTGATTAGCAGATATTACTTTTCTTTTTATATTTATCGTAATCAGTTAATCTTCTGCTTATTCTTAACTTCAGTCGTTCTCTGTAAATATTTGAAGTAGGATAAAGCGAACTTCTCTTGAGGGTGTGGGTGAATATAGTTGTAGATAGATGAATAATGGATGAGTACAAGTTTCATGTTCATCGTTAGTTACATACACACTCTTAAAGTCAAGATGGTTCTAGCAACATTCTTTATTTTGTTTTGTTATTAAAGAATCTTTTGTAGACAGTGTGGTGTTAAAATTTCGTTTTTTATGTTTCTAATGATTAATTTCAATATAATATACTGATTGCCATTCGTATTAGATCATTATACTTCGTTTGAATTGAAAACGATATATTATAAAGTTCAGATAATCCATATTTTATAGAATTTTAATGTTTTATTTCTTTTGAAAGTGTAAGATATATGAAATAATAGTGCTCTTTATTCATTAAGAACTAGTGTAAAGTGATATGACAAAATATTGGTTTTTATGCTTTACTTCTATATAAGATTTGTTGATTATGAGACGAAGAAGAAGATTAAAAATGAAGATTTAATTTCACTTGTTTTTATCAAATAACGGTATTGACTTTCTAGCGACTTATAAAAGTCTCACTATTCGTTCTTATTTGTGAGCATAAAACAAAATTGTTTTTTCAATATGATAACAAAAACTAATGTTTATGTTCTTGTGCTGATTTTGTTGGTTATGATCCATCAAATATCAGGTAATCATTATTATTTCAAAGTCTACGTCCAAATCAATCCAACATTTGTAGAAAAAAATAACATTAGACTTAGTTGATCGATGAATTGTCATATCTGTGTAGATTGTTGAATACTATTCATTGCGAGTAACCACGCCCATCTTCAGTATTTTAAATATTAAATATTTTCGAAAATCATAGGATATTTTTTAAAATTTAATTTTTTCTTTAAGCATCTTCATTTAATCAACCGAAGTTTCGCCCAACAGCTAATTGGAATTCCAATGGAATTACTTTTGCTAATCAATCGATTGTTGGTCAATATCCTTCCACTATTTTTGTGAGCATGAACAACACAATATATGTCACTAATCCAGAAAAAAACACAATTGTAATATGGCAAGAAGAGAGTGTCAATCCAACAAAGATCATTAGTAGTAATTTTAAGCAACCTTTGTCTCTCTTTGTGACATCAAATGGTGATATCTATATTGATGACGGACATGAGAATGGCCGAGTGCAAAGATGGAATGCAGCAACAAGTACCTTTGTCACGGTGATGAATGTTAACTCATCATGTGCT